CTTGGGACATTTACGCTGCCTTGTCTCGTAACGCGTACGCAAACAGTCATAACAAAAGACATGGAAACATTTGGACAGAACGGCATCTTTGCGTTTAACTTTGCAGGAGGGGCATGTGAGGGTCTCCTTATATTCTCGGATCTCTTCGAGCATAACTTCATCAATGGTCGTACCAGCCATCTCAATTTTCTTCATGCGTTCTGCCTTGCGTTTGAATTGTGCCAACTCTTCTTGCAACCGTTTGGTTTTATAAGCTTCGGCTTCCAAGGAACTGGTCTTCTCTGCAACCACCTGTTGAGCCTCCTTCATTTGGGCATGATATTTTTCCAAATGTAACTTAAGATCGGCTGCAGATTGAGCAGATTCAATTGCTTTGCGTTTATGCATTTCCATTGCTTGCTGCCGCAGCGCAAGTTCTTTTTCTATAGCTGCTACCGTGGCCTGTAAACTCCTCTCCTTCTCTTCGAGTTTACGCAAAACTATATGCATTGCTTCAATTTGCGTATCCCGTGTAGCCATTTGGTCTTCTAATATTTGTTTCTCCTCTCTTAGTAGTTTGTGCATTTGATTAGCTTTAATACGTTCAGACATCAATTTAAAATTGGCGTCGTCTTTTTCCCGCAACTGTTGTATAAGCCTTGAATTTTGCTCTTGCATGTCTTCGAAAGCTTGACCAGTAACTTCCATTTCATTAAGCAAGGCCTCTTCCTCATGAGAACCTACAAAAGGTCGTGCATAATTCGGACCACCAGGTCCCCAGTTATCGGTTGGCTTTTGGCTAGCCACTTGCTTTTGTAATTCATATTTTTGTTCTTCCAATTGTTTTATTTTACGAAGTGCTTCTTCGTCGGCAAGTTTTTTACGCTCTTCCCTTTTACTTTCTTGAAGTTTCTTCAATTGTTGGCGAAGTTCTTCTATTTCCGATCGTAATTTCTTTTCTGTGGCCATCAACTGGACCTTGTCCCTTTGGTCTTTGGACACACCTTTATACATGTCCAACAGAAGTTTCATTTCTTTTTGATCATTGAGCGCTTTTCTAAAATGTAATAAAAAATTGAAATTATATTTATATATTTGTAAGAAATTACAAAATACTTAAACATATATTTACATATTTGTCATAGTACTTACTTTAATTGTGCTTTTAAGTCGCGAACTATTTCTGACTCTTGAACTTTAACATCCTTTGCTTTCTGGGCATCCTTAGCGTCTTTTTCTTGTTTAACTGTCGTTGTAGCTGTGGAAGCTGTACCAGTTGGTGTAGAACCCGCAGTATTACAACCAGATTGATTTTCTTTTTTATCCGGTCCTCCCGGAGACGTGTGTTCTTTTTTGATACCTTCTTTTTGATCTTTATTAAAATCGTCATCCATAGTCTCATCTTCTGATTTAATAGCCGCGCCCTCTTCTTTTATAACAGCACTGCCTTCTGCACCAGCGCCACTTGCACTCGCAGAATTGCCCGGATTTCCTGGAAATTCTTCTTTAATGTTACCTCCAACTTCCTGCTTAATATCTTCACCGTTTCCTCCCTGTCCTGGTGTATTTTGTAATTTGGTACCCTCCAGTTTGGCTGTTGCTTCCTCTAATTCTCGGCGCAATTTAACGTTATCTGCCGAGGCATCCTTGTATTTACGTTTATAACGCTGTACCTCTCCCTTCAGTTGTCCGTTGTGGTTTTGCAGAGAAGTTATCAAATGTCTCATTTCTCTATTTATGGGAGCAGTCTGCTCGTTTGCCGCCATATTTTGCTCAAACTCAATGCGTAAAGCCTCATACTCTTTCCGTATTTGAGCTAGCACATCCTCCATTTGAATCATTTCACTTCGCACCTTCTTTTGAGCAATCAATTCTTCACTTTCCATTACTTCGATTTGACGTAAATGTTGATTCTTGCTTGTTTGTAGTTGATTTCTTGTTTCATCCAACATTGTTTTAATTTGCATTGATTCGTTATACAAAACCGAAAACTGCGATTGCAAACATTTATACTCAGTTGTTTCAACAATTACTGACTCGGGGAGTTGACGAATCTGCAAAAAATAGCATATACATTTGAATATCAATAAAAATCTCTTATTGAATGGAACTTTTCTAGAGAAGTATTATTCTAACGATCATAATTTGATATAATCAATTAATATTTATACAATAATAATACATAAAAAATCACAAATAATTATAAAAATAGTTGACCAAAAAACTTTAATTTTCAACTTACGTCCATTTTAAGTTTTTCTACTTCTTTTAAGGTTTCTCTATGCGTAGCATGTAGTTTATCCAATTCTTGTAAACGATTGTTGGCCAAATCTCGGTTTTCTTCAAGTTCTTTTTGCAGATCTTCCACCTGATGACTACTTACATGAGCGTGTCCCGAGCCCTTAGAACTTGATGAGCTCTTATTGGGGTCGCCATGCATTTGATGATATGCCTTCAATTTTTCTATTGCTTCAGCCAAATGATTTTCAAGTTTGTCATTTCGACAATGGATTTTTTCCAAGTCATATTGCAGCTCATCAATTTGATTCTTGAGTTCAGCATTTTCTGTCTCTTTTGCAGTCAATGCGTCCTGATATTCTTTCATTTTCAGTGACATTGTGTGGAATTTTTCATGAAGCGATGTATTAAGGTTTTGTAAATTACAATTTTCGGTCATAATTTCAATGTGAGTTTGTTTTAGAGTCTCTTCTATATTGGGTATATTATTTGCAGTATTGGAATCTGTTTGCGATTCATCACCCGTTTCCGATGTGGACGAGGCAGTGCCCGTAGTTGCCGGTTCACCCTTCAAAGACATTGTAATTTTTTCATTTCTCTGCATAATTCTGTCAATAACTTGTACAATCTTGGCTACTGCCCTCTTAGATACTTGTACTCGATTAGCTAGTTTATCGTCTAATTCTTCTTTGTCCCAAGTGGACAATTGTGTTAAAAAAGAGGTCGTTACTTCATTCTCGTTACGATTCTCTAATTCATCCGCAGTCTCTGCATCGAACCTTTGCAGAAGCACACGTATATCCTCATTTAATTGGTTCCAGTATCGATTAACCACATTGAGAACTGCATCGTCTTGAGTTTGACGTTTCTCCAATTGTTCTATACGATGCCTAAGCTCGGCCTCTGTGCGCATTCTCTGCTCAATGCGTTGAGCTAATTTTTTATTTTGAAATTCTAATACTTTGATGTCCATTTCCTCTAAAGTAGAGACGGGTCCAATTAGATGAGGCTCAAAGTGAACTTTCTTAATGGGTGGTTGCCCGAGATTAGTGTTGGCAGTGGCGCTACCCGAACTGCCAACACCGCTGTTGTCGTCAGCAGCACGTTTAGACATTCTTCTGAAATTTAATTAAAATACAATCGCTATTGGTTCAGTTAAAATGTAACAAGTGTGTACAACGTTAAAATCGAATTTATTCAAGTTCTGAATAAAAAATCTAATCTGGTAGCAAAATTTGTCAAATTGGAAAAGCCTTGCAACGATTTTATGTTTTTTCCGATATCGAAATAAATATTTAATGTTTTTATGAGAAATATATTATGTTTGTGATATATTACTAAATAATGATACTTACATCCTATTTTGTGATTATTTTCCTTAAAAATTTATTAAAAAGACTTTACAAAAATATTCTCCACGAATATCAGAAAAAAATGCCGTAAAAAATATGTATGTGTGCGTTGTTTTGACAACTACCAGTAGTGCTAACTTTACAAAAATAATCGCTAAATGCGAGGCAATATATTAGTGTTATCTTTCCAGCGATTAATCGATAAGTTGAAAATGTTTAAATTTAATGCGATAACTTTATGCGATGACGATATGTTGAATAGTAAAATTATACCAAGTTCACACGGAGCAGTTGAATTACTTAATTCGGCCTCTGAATGACAATAGCCAGTTAACCCGTTTCTACGACACATTCGTAATTCGTTTTGACAGTTCATCGCCATGTTGTTTTTATCATTCATTATTTTGTCATTTTTTGGAATATTTGTGTGTGTGTGTGTGTGATACAAAAATACGTTTATTACATTATTTCAACAGTTTAAGTTGTATATTTTCTATTTATTTGCATTTTTTGTAATTTAATTTTTTATTTGTCTCCAACCAATGAAAACAGTTTGTTATACTAAATACCCGATACAAATTAAAGATGACACTCATTCATTCGTAATTCAGTTTGAATTACGTACAGCTTGTGTAATTCGCAGCTGAAATTTTGTATGGCAAATCATGTCATTCATTGAATGATGAATGAGAGCGTGAATTACGAATAATTGTACTGTGTGAACGGGGTATTACTTAATTCGGCCTTTGAATTACATAGACAATTAACCTTTTTCAACGACACATTCGTATTGTTTAGTTCTTTAGAACTGTGTTTATTAGTTATGGCCATCACAACCAACAAAATTGATTTAATGGGTTGGAACCAGATTCATGTTGATATAGAGTTTATATTGTTTCAAATAACATACAATACAAAATTTTTAAATTTTACGAAAAAATAATTAATATTTATAATAATTTGTGTTACCCTGTTGTTTAGATTTATCCGTTACGTTAACTGTCACATCCGCAAACGTTTAGAGTCGCTAGATTTTCTTCTGTTGCTTTGTGGCAACGGTTATTTGAAATGCTATTAAAAATTTAATACCTATAATATCGAAAAGTATTTATGAAGGGACTATTTCATAAATTTTGCAGGTCGATTTTTATTAGATAATTAATGGAAATCGAAACTTTGATCGATTTTTTTAATTTGTTCTGACGACAAGATGAATTACTTAATTCGCAAATTCCAACGAAAGAAAACAAAAAGTTGATTATGTTAAATACTGGATAAACATTAGAGATGACACACCTTAGTATTTTCTAATTCGCATTTGAAACTTTTTATGGCGAATCATGTAATTCGGTTGGTAATTAGGAAGAATTCTACATAAGAATCTTATATTAATCTGATAACATTATGAAGATAATAATCGTTATTTTGTGAGTGAGTACCAAATGTTAAAGTTTATTTTAAAATTTAAAAAAGTTTCTACAAATACATAAACATTTTGCAAAATTCCAAAAAATTAAAAATGGTAGTGTAATAAATCTGGTGATAAAATGTTTTAATATGCTGTTTCTTTGAAGTGCAGTGATTTGAAAATTTGTGATTATGTTGAGTAAATTTCAACAATTCTGTTTAAAATGATGAATATTTCAACGCTTGACGTATAGTCATGCAATCGACTTCATCAATTTTTATGGAATTCGATTTGATGTTTATTTCCTCTTCTTGCATTACTTGGACATGTAACAAATAACGCAAAGAAGCCTTATTCTCCTGTATCTTTTGATTTAATTTACACATCGAAGCTTTCAAAGCATTAAGCTCGTGATAGAGAGCGTCTTGCACTTCGTCGCATGTTAATTCTAGACCAGGACGCGTTGCACGGTTGCTTAAACGTGTCAAGCACAATTGTTGAGCTCGTTGTTTATCGGCCAAACCTTTTTCCAAAGCATTTATGTTAGATTGTACCTCGTTGATATGATTCATAGTGTCACTGTGCTTATTTTCCAAACATTTTTTAACATGTCGCAATTCGCAAATTCGATGTTCGAAAGCTTCATTAGTGCGATCAGTTTGGTTCTCCATATCTTCGCAAACTTGTTTTAGTAATAGATCAATATAGGCTCTAAGTTGTGCGGCGGAATTTAATTCCTTTGCGTTACACTCTAGATTTTTATAAGTTGTATGCTGCCATTCACCTAATGAATATTGGCTGAAAAGAAAAATGCATGTACCTATTTAGAACTTTATTCTATTTTTTAATTGAAATTGATACAACATTTACATATTTATAAGTAAAAAAGCAAATGGAATTTCATTTTACAAAGCTATGGTAGTGGGAAAAATGTTCTTAAACAAGATACAAAAAAATCTAATCTAAAATAAACTTACCAATGATGGTGGGCTAAATCACCGCCTCGTAAATTTTGTGAATCTCTTAGAGTCAAGTTCTTTTCGTCGATCAAGAGAGATTTATCCTTTTGCGCCAAATCTTTATCTAACAAATACATTGTTGCACGTAATTTACGCAACTGTTCATTTGTTTCCTTCAAAGCTTTATCCATTAGGCATTGACACCCTTTGATAACTTTTAGTTCACGACGTAAATTGCGATCTACTTCATCTTCACATAGATCTACACCTAAACGACCCTCTCGTATAACTAAACAACGTTGGCAAATTGCTAAGGACTTTTCCTTTAGGAATCCGATGGCATTGATGACACGACAACGATAAGTGTTCAGAGCTTCATCCTCCAACAATGCGGTTTTCTTCTGTTTATTTAGTTCGTCGCAAAGAAAGCGTATTTCGCTGGCTCTCTCGCGTAAATGGTGTTCAACTTCACGTTGCCAATTACGAGTTGTATCATTAACATCGTCGACTACCCGGCGAGATTCCCTTTAAATAAAATTCAAATTATTTGACATTTATGAAATTCTTGATAAGCTTACTCCACAATACGTTCGGCCATCCTTTCTTGGTCACAGGTTATTCGAAATTTCATTTTATTATTATAATCCCAATCTTCATCAGAATATTTTGGTGGCAATCTGGACATTGGACCCATGTTTTTACCACACAGATGTAGGCCAGTAATACGCTTACTTCTCATATTGGATAACATAATTGTCAAATATGAAATTCTCCTCTAATTAAGTTAAATTTTCGATTATAAGTATATTCCGTTTTTTCTTTAAAACGTCTTGCTGTCTGTATTGAAAATTCATAACATAATATTTTATAACTGTTACGATTTTTATTTATTTTTTTTAGTATTACCATAACTACGGTAAAAGTCGTAGGAGTTCAGCATTATACATAAATATTGTCATTTACATTAACCTCTTATTTTTGGAACACAAAACTTCTTCTTGCTAATTACATATATTTTTTGTATCTATGGCACATTTCCTATATTAATGTCATAGATAAAATTGCGTAAACATAGTTCCTCTTTATGATATTATATATACATACATACATACACATGTTATATATGTATGTATGTCAAAAGTAATGTTTTTGTCTGCAATGGGTTATTGTATTGATCATACAACATACATATGTACGTATTTTTATTCGTTGCCTAGATGGATTATTCGTTTGTTAAATGTACGTTTATACATCCATATGTATGTAATTAGGTTTAGTAGTAGTTATGTGAAAGCATACATATCGTCGTAGGAAAACCAATAAATCGTAATTGATTTTGATATTTTTTTTATTTTTACCCGTTTCTGCCCAAGACTGCTTATCATTAGAAATTTTATATTTTTTAAGAATAGAATATGATTTTCCGACTAGCTTATTATACATACATATGTATGTATGTACATTAAGCTTCGCGCGACGTTTTGTAATTGTGATATCATAACTTTTTTGAAAGTTTTTTAATCTGTAATAACATTGGCGTACTTATTTTGTTAAAATTCCGCGGCCAAAACACTAATTTTGGGCGATATTTTTTAATAGTCCGAAAACTGCTGAACATATGTATTTCAAACCTGACTTTAGTATACGATTCTAAGATATATAAACTTAATTTGACAGAATTTGGATGCACTATAAATGCATAAGAGCAAAAGAAAAAGTTCAATTAAAAAAAAAAAAACATTCAATGCCCTGAAAAAATAGTGTTAAAATTTTTAATTTATTATATTCCATTTAGGAGTTATGATGTTAAAAATGTTAACTAGTGAGTTAATAATTTTCCATCAAACAATGGTTTTTGCGTTCTAAAGTTTAAAATCTGAAAATTTAAAGTATAATCACATCTAATGATAGAATTTTTGTTTTTGCACCATTGGTTAAAGCTTTCATTTGAGCAAAAAAAATACAACAAAAACGTCGATTTTGAAAAAATAGGGAAAAATATTGAAAAAAATCTTATTCTTAAGTTAAAAAATATTTTTTTGATAGATATCCCAATTGCATCCCATTATGGGTCTATAAAGCCCTTAAAGGAAATTGTCTTAAAATTAAAAAAAAAAAATATTTTTAAAACGAAAAATTAAAAAAAAAAATTAAGAGTTAAATTTTTTTTGAAACAATGAAGAACTCCTTTGACAATTCTTGACCTATAGTACTAATCTTGGTGTTGGATAATAGCTGTCTGGTATTGGATAATAGCTGTCTGGCCTATTATCAAACAGTACTAACCTTGGTGCAAATTTCATCCAAATCTACTTTTTGAGTTGGGTCACTTGACACGAAATTGCCCATATATTAAATGAAAAGTGTTCGAAAATTGGTGCCTTTAAATTAAAGTCAGCAGAATACCAGACGTTTTAAATAAAATTAAAACAAATCGTCTCAGAAGGTATTTTAGTGCTTTCGATTTTAACCGATTATAGCAACTTGTGAGTCCATTCCTTGTAATTCAACTGCATTCAGACTGTTAATTAACTATTTGAACAAGAAATAAGAAAATGGTAAATTATGAAAATCGACTGTGGCAATTGCTAATATTTTAGTTTTTTTTTTTTTGTTTTGCGATGAAAATCCAATAAACGATTGTCAACTAAAAAAAACATATCGATTTCCATAGCATACCCGAAAATTTTTACAATTTAAGTGATTTCAACATGGTGTATATCTTATTATTTTTATATATCGTTATATTATATTAAACTTACAATTATACTGAAACTTACAAACCTTAATTACATATTTGTTAAATTTTACATACATACATATTTTTTCTTCTTTTAATAATTTTTAAATTAGGAAATATGTTGTCTTGTATGTAGCATTATAAAAGCCACATGTTATCAGTAAGTTTTGTTTAATCAAAATCCCAGACAAATACCAGCATCTAAATTAATATGAATTCTAATTCGTTATGAGAGTGGACATACATACATATTATGTATTCATATAAACAAATAATGCATTTATATGTATGTATTTAATATTTAAATATTATATCTGTTGTGGACACACCACATTAAATTGTTAATAATATTTTGATAATGAAATTGGGGGATTTGAAGAATTTTAAGTTTGTATCCTTTTTAAATTTGACCCTTAACACACATTAAACATTATTGGTTAATACATTAATTAATTAATGACTATTTCTTTTTTATATTTGTTAGAAAATTAAGTTATAATAATTATTATTATCCATATATTTTATTTGCGAAATACAATATGTACTGTATGTAATTTTTATTTTTTAATGTGGAAGATTTTGAGTTATTTTTTTTTTAAATTTTGTGAGTTTTGAGTGTGTTGAACATTATATGTATTTATTTTTCTTTTTTAATAATAACAGTTTTTTAGTTTGTTGATTTGCTATGCATTTTGTTCGCTTGTAATTAATTCATTATCTAAACTTTTTGGTTTTTATAAATTGGTGTTCCTAGAATAGAGTTTCTGTTTTGCTTTTGTAGTTATTTTTCCATTTTCATATACATATATTATCAGGCAGTGTAAATTATATTTTCATTTTCTATTTCCTTTGTTTTCATATGTTTGTTAAGTTTTATTATTATCAGTTTTATGTTACTTTGTCAGTTCCTTTTTATATGATTTTCAAAAATTATATGTAGATTGAAACTTAAGTTTAGCATACAAGAAAATAAAAATATATTTACTTTATTTAAATAATAAATTTAAAAACTAAGAAAAAAATATATATTTTTTGTTTTATTCTAAATTCAGCTATTTACTTTTTATTTTTATCTGAGGTAATTTTTTATATTTTTTAGTTATGGTTCGTTCCTTTAAGGTTTTTGTTTTCAAGTCCCGGGCTTTATTTATTTCTTATTTTATTTTGAGTTTTAATAGATTTTAAACATTTATAAAAATAAACCTAGTTTTCAGTCGTTTGAAACATAAAGATACATATTCATTTTAAGTAATATGGTATTTTTATTTGCTGAAAAAACAATTAGTAAAAAAATCGAAATAAATTAAAATATTTTTTATAATTTTGTAGTGTTATGTATTACCTACCAAAAGCTTTCTTTAAAAGAACTTAAGAAAGAAGCTTACTTAGCAAAAATGTAATTCTAAGCTGCATTAATTTTAAGGAATACATTATGGAAGCATATAACCCATAATTCGTACGTCTTCAAAAATTAGTACCTATGCTTCCATAAATTTATTTTTTATATCCTTCACCTTCGTGAAATACGTTTGTCATTAAGTTTGTAATTTATGCAATATAATTTTTCGACCCTACAACGTTTCTATATACTTGGTCCTTATAGATAACGGAGTCGATTAATCTATGCCCATCTGTATGTCTGTTGAAATCAATTTTCTGAAGACCCCAGTAGTCTTCGGGATCCAAATCTTCAATATTTCTCTAACACATGCTTTGAGAAGTTTCCTATTTAAAATCAACAAAATCGGTCCATATATAAAGGAAATATGTATGAGTAAAAATCCGATACAATCTCTGAAAAACACAATTGAAATGAAATTCAGAATTTTTTAATTAAAGAAAAACCAAATAGATTTACAAAAACAAATAACTTCTTAAATTCACTATGGTGAAGGGTATATAAGATTCGGCACTGCCGAATATAAGACTTTTGTTGATTTTAGTCATTGATTTTTGTGGCGTATGACAAATTATTTATTTATCTCCATTTATTATTTACACTCTACATATTTAAATTTATCCAAATTTTCTTGTTAAACATTCCCTGCATATATATGTATAAATTTTGAAAGACTTATATAGGAAATGATATTATTCAGTTATGGCAATATTAAGCAGAACATGTTTACACAATAAAATTATTTTAAGAACTTCGGTCTCAAGAGGATATATGCATGTGAATTAACAAATCGAAACCCGAAATTCACTTCACTTTTTTATGAGAGTAACTTCTACAGCGATAGAAATTACAAAATGATCTTTCCAAAGTAACCGATTGACTAACAGAGGGCCTATACATATTATTATATTCGTATAGGCAACAAATAACCATCAAAATTGGCAGATTTCCAGCTGTATCGCAAAGTAATATAAACATTACATATTATTATAAGAACATAAATGGGAAGATGAATATAATGCCGGAGGCTTTATTCCGTTTGTGGGTGCGGAAATAATTTGAAATTTGTATGTTAAATAAATTGTATTTCAAAAATCCTTGTCTTTCAAATGGAAATACGGATAAAGCCCCAGATTTCATATTTTTCAAATAAAAAGTCAATTCTCAATTTTTTCTGTTTTTAATAATAACAAACAATAATAAGTAAAGTAATTATATTTTTCATAAAAAAATAAACTAAACGTAAATTAAGAAAAGAAAAAGAAAATCTTGAAACAATTTTCGATTTTTAACATTTTAGAACACAGGTTTCATTAATTTTGAACAATAATTTTGTTTAATAATATTATCTTATATTTTTTTTTTTGTTTTTTTTTTTCTTTTTTTGTTTTATGACTTAAGATTTAATTGAAAATGTAAAAATAATAATAAACAAAATATTTGAATTGTTTTACTATTATTTTTTTACTATAAATATTCACTTAACATACACTGATGAAATTACGGCTGTTCTTTACTTTCTTTAGAATATTATAAGTTTAATAGAAATTTATTTATATTTTGTTTTGTTTCTTGTGGTTTTTAATTTATGAAATTTTACTATAGATTTTTATTATTTGTTATATTATATGTAGGATATATGTATGTATATGCAGTTTATAATGGATTTATTTTATTATACACATGTGATATTTATTTATTTATTGTTTTTAATAATTATTTTTTAAACAGCAGTTTAGGAGCTTTAAATATTTCTTCTATAATATAAAATGTCATAGGTGTTTTATGGGAATTTTCAATTTTTTTATTTTTTTCTCTATGTTATTATTTTTTTCTTTCGTATAAATTATTTTATGTATGTTTACTTAAAAGGCGCAAGCACCTTGTTAATTTCTTTTTTAACTTGGTCTATTTCTTTTTATTTTAATTACACCATTTTCCATTTCTAGAATATCAACGACAGACAAGCATATTCTAGAAAAGTTTACTTGAAATTCAGCACAAGGTAAAGATTTTATATCCAAATTTTAAACTTGGTAAATACTTTAATTTTTTCAGATAATTGTTAGAATTAATTAAAAAAATTAAATGTGAAATGTTTTCATTTTGTAGGTATTAAAAACTGTACATTCATGATCTTCTATTAAAGGTAATACAAAGCTTGTTGTTTGCTGTAATGTTAGCAACAAAGTCGCGCTGAAAGCAATTTCTAACAAATACAAATAGATTTTTCTTTGGCATTGTAAAAATTAGCTTGAATTGAAGTCCAATTTGATTTTTTTTTGCAATAGAAAATGGTGTAAAGTTTAATTTTTTTCTTTCTGTATTTTTTTATCAACACACCGCCGCATTACATTTACCATAACCAATTTCGGTTTACATATTTTTTACTTTTTAATTTCTACTTCATTAAAAAACAAAAATAACATTAACATTAATTTTTGTATTATTAAATGTAATCAATCAATCATCAATTATCATTATCTTATAAATTTTTAATATGTTTTTCTTTATTTTTCCTTTTGTTTCATTCTGTTTTTATTTTATAATCATCCGATTTTATGTTGTTTGTTTAATATATGTGTAGTTAACATTACTTTTAGTATTTATATAGTCAGCATTTCAAACGCCTTTAACCATTGCCTTTGATGAATTTTTGATGGCTTTTGGAGGAGCAGTTACAGCTGCTTTTATGTACGCACTACGACATAGGTAAACCTTGCACGTCCATCATTTCGTCCTGGGGCGAGGGACGTGGTGGGAAAGCTTGCAAATGTGGCGGCGTAGCTCGTGCGTAAATTCCTCTCGGAGCTAAGGGATATTGTAATCGATAGGAACCATCATGTGCTTGTCTTGGTGTACGTCTAGGTGAACGGGCTGGCATACGGTTAGCTCTTTGCATTTCCTCTAGAATTGATGGCGCTACATATGTGAAACCCTGGAAGTAAATCAATTTAAACATGTATTAAACTTTCTCTTTACTCTTCATAATTCTCTTCTCTTCAAATTGTTAATTATTATTTCGTTCTCTTAAAATCAATACATTCTCTAACAATTCTCACCGCTCTTAATATTTACACACAGAATTTCATCGACGAGCATGCCCACTTTTTTACCTTGAAGATTTTAAACACAATTTGTTGTTTTACATTAATAGTACAAGGTTTAACGCATGAATAAAATGGTATGATGGCGTGTATAAGCTATTAACAAAATTTATTGAACTTCGGATTATAGGAAAATAATTAAACTAATTTTCTTATAATTATAAAACAGCATTAGAACACTATAACACTAACTATCTGTCACAGCATTCCATTCCTATCGAAAGTGGAATTATTTCTGTACTTTGCTTCATCAGAAAAAGTAAAACTGTAATAAAGTTATTTACTATAATTCTATTCTCAGTCGTAATGGAATTTAATTTGTTGTTTTTTATAACCCTTTTACAAATAACAATAATAATAATTAAAATGTTAAAAAAAGTGATTTCAAAGATTTGAAAAATTATGGATATTTATACTTTTTTCTGAGACCATCATATTGTAGATACATATACACGTACATATGCAAATTTACGTAATCTAGATACATTAACACACAATGTAAATGGCTGCAACATCTTCAATGAAAATGAAAATACTAGAGAGTTTAAGTCAAAATATCAAAATAAAAGAATCTTTTAGTTTGTCATGCAAAGAGAAAATGAATATTGAACTCAAAATATATGTTTATATGTATATTTATTATTAATCTACACAAATTTCTCAAATAGATGGCACGAGTTAAAAGAAAACTACGAAAAATCTCTTTCTTAAATATATTTTTAAACGTAAAGACAAGGTAATATAGTTGGTTTGTCGGTTCATGGTTAATAAGGCTGATCCAAAAGTTTAGTCAGGCGTATGTATTCAAGGTGGTCGGCACGCAAGCGCACAAGATTTACAAAAACGTACAACAAATAACTGATTAATTTATTAACACAAAATATATATTAAACAAACAAAACAGAGCGAAGAAAGCTGCAAAAAGTTTATGTCAAGTGTAAACACTCGATTTAAAATTAATTTGTCTTTTGTTAAGTGCGGTATTCAAACGAATACTTTAAAGGCCCATAATAAATAAAAAATATGGTTAACGCAAGCATGCGCTTTGCAATAAAAGAGAAATAATTCTAAAGAGAAGAGAGTTTAGTTAAATAGTGTTCCTACCATTTATAAGAAAGTACTATCGGTTTATGCTAGATTGAAAACGAAGCGAATACAAAGCAATACTGAATTGTTAATTTCATATGTTAAAAAAAATATATGTATATATAAAAAAGAGGTCGCGCCGTCTTAAACGTGAGTTTAAGAACACGTTATAATTAACAAAGAAAAAATACAAAGCAATCAATATAACTTTCCAAAAATAGGAACGCGTTTATTAGAATTTTAACAACATAAAAATGCAACATACAACTACTGCACGACGAACAAACGTGTTGGGATGAAAGTGCAATTTCTTGAAAAGATATTAAAAATATAAAATAAAAGAAAAAAGAAAAAGATAATCAAATTAACACATGAAATACAAACGGGCTTTACCACTTTGCAAGACTCGCGCGGCGATTGATATCAAATTGAATTCAACCACTTAATAAATGAATGAATGAGTGAGTGACTTTCGTAAATTAAAAATAAACAAAAGCTTCGCGACATAACGAAATTTCTTGGCTAAAGTAAACATTATTAAATTAAATACATATAGTGAATGAATAACATTATTACAGTGTTATGTAATAGAAGCAATACGAATTATAACAATAAAAACTTAAACTGATCACAATCATCTTCATAAAAAGCAGCAAGAAGATTGTAAAAAAGCTAATAAACAATACATTAAAAAACACACACACATAAACGCGAAAAAAACCCTCTAGAAGCAGTAGTTTCTATTGGTCAATTAAACTTATTTTATACTTTTAACGTTGTTAGCGTAAACTAAATGTAGTACATGCACCTGCCTCAAATACGATCATTGTATATTAAACTATTTACTAGGATGTCAAATAAATATACTGAAAAATATAATTATAATTTTCAACTGCAGCACTTTCTAGTACTTTCATATGAACAGCAAAAGCAACATAAACAACCTCCTCCTAAATGTCGTTACAATCGTGGAATAAGTGGTAAAAGTAGAGGCAGTAATAGTGGCATTTGTTGGATTTTATGCAGTGTACTTGTACAATTACTTTATGCCACTGAAAGTGTGGCTCAAAATGTTGCTGTTGTTGCACCACCAGTAAACAACATTCCATCTGCAGATTTCGTTGTAACATCTTCAATAGATGCCACTGAAGTTGTTGCTACTGTTACTGCTAAAACCTTTACTCAAAATAAGTCAAGAGTTAATAAACGTAGCCACCATTCAACATTCTCAGACTTGGACAAAGAAGTAGGTATGACTGGTATCTAATCTTTGCTTATTTATTGTACATTTATATCAACCGACGTTTACTACTTACTATATTCTATATTTATCAAAAGAAAAACGTTCCCCTTTATGCAAGTAACTGACTAATAATCAACACACAGCAGCTACTTACACTACAACAAATATAACCATCACCTTATGAAAAAAGCTACAAACAATATACATACATATAACCAAAATGTTAATACAAAGACATACTAGTATGTAGCGTCGTTGTCTGTGTGAAAGTGAAATTTGTAGTATTTTTTATGTGTATAAAAATTTTATTATTTCGGGTTTTTAATATACGATTTAGTAAGTATGTATGTGTTCGTAAGTATGTAGATGCATATATTAAATTTGTTATAGTTTTGAGCCTAAAAGTTTCATAAAAACTATTTTTTTTTTGTCCTTATTATTTTATGACAAATAAAGACAAACCATATCTATTTTTGACAAGTGACACTTGGCCAATAAATGCAAAACTTAATTCAACAAGCTGCAACTATTAAAAGCGTAGAAGCAAATTCCAGGGATCGAAAATAATGATCTAAATAAATTGTTTTTGTTATTCAAATATTACTGTCTACCAAGTAATGATTGTAGTTATCCCAAAATTTTACAACGTTTCTCATATTTTTGAACTATATCAAAGTATAAATAGGTCCTTTTGTGAGTTTTTCATGATTTTTTCATACTTCTGGCAAATAAATTCAATACCAATATCGTTTTGTAAAAATAGGAGTACTTGAAAAATAATTTTGTCATTCTGTTCCATTCAGAGAATACAATATTTGGGAAAAAATACATGACAAAAAACGAAAGTGTTTTAAAAGTAACTGTAAAAAGATACGAAAATGAGAGAATGGTTTTATGTTTAAATGTTTTAAACCATATATTGTCTTAGCTATATTTATCTAACGTACAAAATATGTATATTAAAATTAGAACTATTTTTGGGGCGATAAAATACCACATTTGTTACAAATAACAATCGCCTCTATATAAAAATTTGAAAAATTGTTACGCAAGTAATATTTAAACAAAACTTCGCGTTTGGTGCGGCAACTTATTTAATGATCGCGAAAAATAATGTCATATTTCGTAACATCTGTTCACACTCTACAAGATCTTGCTATAGTATTTTTTATATTTGCAAAAATTGCAAAATGGTATCACCCTAATGTATACGTAGTATACGCGCAATTTCATTAGCTTTACGTTGGTATGTAACACTTTATTGTTTCATTCTATAAAAAATATTTTTTTTTAGTTAAACTAAAGTATTAATGACGGTTTGTATTTTGTTGTTTACATTATTACCCAATGCTTCGATAGTGTATATATGTAGGCTTCGATAAATTCAAACAAAATTCGATCTAGTTTGAATTGACAAACGGAAAAAACTATGAGGATTACTATTGCTATATAAAATTTATTGGTATAAAAAATCTGAAATTTTTTGAAAAATTATAAAATTTATATTACATTTGCTGTTACACAAAAATTTCAGATATGCATTTGTAAGCGTCTCTCAAGATCCTTTATGATATCAAAATTTTATACTTCTTCCAAAGGAAAGATATGAAAAACATATGAAAATCACAAAAAGGGCCTTTTTATCCTTTGATATAGCTCATCAAATATTGACATCAGGACAAACATTTTGACAAATTTATCTTTGTTTTGCATTGTCAATGAAATCAAAACTGTCCAAATTTCACTCGAAAAACATTGAAGATTAATAAAAATCGTTCATCTACAATTTAAAATATATTTTTTAATTTTTTTTATTAAAATTTTCCTTTTTTACAAAAATCTTAAAAGATCTTTCTTGAGATTTCTTCAATAATAAAGTTCTGATTAGGTGTTGCAAGTAATATCATATTTTTCCAATAAAGATACATTATTATGTAAACACTTATTATTATTGCAATTTTTATTTATGTAATTTGTATTATCATATACAAGGAATAATAAAATGACAACTAACATATTTTTTCAATTACTTATGTTTTAAGTTATGACGGTCATCTATAAAGTTCACGAAATGTACATAAATTTAAATCTTATTTTCAAAGACATTTTTTATTAAATTGGGTTTTTTCATTTATGTAAAGTTAAAGTTATGCAAAACATAAAAATACAGGTTTTTAGCAAAGCTACCACTTCATTTTGGTATAATAAAGCTTTTCATTTACAATTTCAGCTTGAGTAAATAATATATCTTTACGAAATTAAAAATTTACTGACTCAATACTTATTTCATAAGTATTAAAATAAACATTAAGAAACATTTTTTTATTTTAAAGAAGAAACAAATAGATTGTTAATGGTCACCCAATTATCATCTACACAATTTAAAACAAATGCAAAATATATTGTTCCAATTTCATGTAAAATCATACATATCTTATGTCAAACCCATCATCAATTTATGCGCGGAATACTAAATGCAATTGAGTCAAAAACAACAACGAT